CGACGAGGCGAAGCTCTACTTGGAGAAGTTGGCCACGCGCATGAAGAAATGGGTGGATAAGAAACGGACCCGTCGCGATTTTGAAGAAGGCGACCAAGTCTTGGTAAAACTCTACGAGCGTGGACGGAGCCGTGGTCTTCACAATGGTCTCATGCACATGTACGAGGGTCCTTTCACTGTTCTTAAGAAAGTAGGTTTCATTGCTTACAAGTTGGAGATACCTGAGGCCTTTTCAAGGCTCGGTTTTTTATGTGAGCCTACTTAAGCCATATCGCAAGGACCTGGAGGACGAAGAACAGAACGTTTCCTCAAGGGCACCCACTGGCGTACGCGAGCACAAGGAACGGACCGGAGAGGAGATCCTTTCTAAGAGGATCGTTCGGGGCAAGAACGGGGCAGCAACTAAGGAACACTTGATGAAATGGAAGGGATTGCCAATGAGGGAGACAAGTTGGGAGCCAGTCGAGAGGATTTGGCAATTTACCAAGTTGATCGAGGACTTTGAGGAGAATCATGCCCTCGTTCCCATCAACATTACCTTCAAGACTTAGATGTATCGGGTTGATGCACCGTTTTGGTGGGGGAGGATGTCACGGCCGTTTTCCGTTTCTCGGGTAAGGCCGTCCTTTCCCACGTTCGTGGGGTTTGGGGGTTAACCGGGCCGTTTCCTTAACCGAGATAAGGGACGGAACGTTCTAGAGCATGTTGGAAAACTTGGGTCAATTCCACACTGTTTTGGAATTCTCTAGAAGCGACCAGGCTTTGCTGGAAACGGGTGGAAGCTTCCCGAGCTTTGCTGGAACCTTCTCGGGTTTTGCTAGGTCAGCCAGGAACGGGCTGGAAAATTCTAGAATTATTTAGAATTCAACACTTAGAATATTTTAGTAATAGAATTCTCTAGATACTTGTATATTTTAATACTTGTATAGAATTCTCTAGAATTCTCTTGGACTTGGGAACTTAGCCTATAAATACTCCAAGGCCCCCTCATTTGTAATCCATCCAAGTTTGAGTGAAGCATTCTCAAGCATTCCTTAAGCTCTTGTGCCTACATCATTCTTAGCTTTCTTAAGCTTTCTTAGCCTACATTCTTTAAGGCTTTGCCTAGCTTTGCACGTTTTTGGGGTCTTAAGACTGAGCTAGCACGTTCTCGTTGATTGTTTAAGTGCTACTGCCGCACGGCCGTTACTTTAAAAAAGTAAGCCCGTGACACTTGAATGACTCAATGGTGCAGACATGGGTCTGCATCTATTCCTCAAAGTCAGTCTTCACCTTTACTATCTCGGAACGCAGAGTGGTCGCTCCTGCAGTGGCTCCTTCCAGGCACAGTGCGCTACGCTTAAAATACTGATAGCAAGGAAATTCCCTATTTGCCGACCATGACCAGAAAACACTGGACGGAGCAAACTTCACTATAGCCACATCCTGAGATGGGCGATGACCCGTTTACAACCCTGTGTCCGCTCACGTGCCCAACGACGGTGCTGTGTCAGGGATCGTGGTCTCGACCACATTCGGTCCAGCCGCGGCTGGATTAGGGAGCACCTAGGAAGCGTCGCTCCCGCCCCTGTTCCTTTGCTCCCTCCCAATATGCGACTGGCTAGGTATCGATACTCTTTGCCTGTCGAAGGCTTTCCATTTTCTTGATGCTTTCACCTTCTCCACGTTCACAGTATTCGCCATGTTGTGCACTGTCGCCACTACAACACTGGATAATATATCTTTATGTCACCGCGGTCACTGCATGCTATTCCTTCTTTATGTCCACATCCCGGACCTCGAAGGATCGACCCTCGCCCTCGGTCCACGAATCGGTTATTATCCCCTCCATTTCACACCATGTTTCTCAATGAAAATTAGAGAGCGCGATCCCGTCAACGGATTATGTTGGAAACTAAACCACCCAGAGTAGTTGCGATGTGAACGCGTCATCTTAAACAATCATTGAAACAAAAAACATTGTTAATTTCGTGATCGCGCAATGGCGTTCGTTATTTTTGGGGTGGCACCATGACGCTTGCTGATTTTCCTTGGGATCGCGCACAAGCGCTCGCTTACCCCAGGGTCGCCTAATGGGGCTCACCCGCCTTGGGTTCGCGCAAACGCGCTCGCTTACCCTAGGATCGCCTAATGGTGCTCGACCGCCTTGGGGTCGCGCAAACGCGCTCGCTTACCCCAGGGTCACCCAATGGTACTCGCGTTTTTCTTGCGGTCGCGCATTAGCGACCGCCTATCCCAGGGATGCTTTACCTCGGGCCGTTGACATACCCAAAGGAACCGCATAATGGATGGGATCGCATTTGGCGACCACCCTGCCAGGGACATTTCGTACGCCCGCATCAAGGCCGCCACAAAAGGAATAAGGGGAAGATTCAACCCAACTTCTATTTGGCGAAAGTATACAATTATTTCACCCGGAGGGTCCATCTTCATATCAGTGTACTAGATTTCGTGCCAAGCTTGTGTTTGAGGATATGTGCTACCGCGGTCCCCAAAATTGACCAATGATCGTAGCACCCTCAAACTCCAAAAATCATCGTGTCACAAATGGGCCATGACTTACTTTAGATCGCCCACCTTAAGTCTCCTCGCCTAAAGAGAGGGTCGTGTACTAATGATTGCCTTTCCCCTTCTTGATTGGACTTTCGCTCAACGTTGACTGTCCAAACTATCCCTCATGCATCGATTGAGACGACATTCGCCAACGACATCTTTTTAACTGTGTTGGTATAGCCACCTATTTGGTTTAAGCACTCCTTGCCAGTCACTTGGTTGATCACCCCCTCAGAGCACCGTTCAATGGTTGATTGTCTTTGTTACCGCAGGATGGGGCATCACTCATTAGTTGTTTGCTGTCAATCGCCTTGGTGGGAATATTGTTGCCCCAATGGCTTGTCTTTGTTTACTCGCCGTCGATTTACCCTTGAATGCATCTGCAGGAGCGCCGCTCACTGATGCTGCGTCTTTGCTTACTTTGGCTGAACCGCTGCCTGTCACTTGTTCTTAGCAACCACCATAGATTCCTGGGTCGCCAGGTAGCGCCATGACGCTTGCCGACTCTTGGGTCGCGCATTGGCAGTCGCTTACCCCTGGACCTCCTAATGGCGGTCGTTTACTCCTAGTCGTGCAAGCGCGCTCGCTAGGGTCGGGGCTGCGCCATGTTGCTCGACGATTTACGTTGGATAGATTCACTCTCCAATGGCCTATGCACCTTCTAGTATTGGAACAGTAAACTGCTTACGCTTATGAAGACAAGAGTCACTCGATACTTGAACCTTGAACGCCAACAACCGGCGTTCCTGATGTCTTGCGTGCTCGCGGTCTCACCCACTTAGGTGGACCCTCGAACGGGCAGCCTCGCCGCAAAACTGGATGACAGGTCCATTTACACTTGTATGCCATATAGATGTGTTTTCTACTAACACTTGGCAGGGGCAATTAATAGGACATGGACCGTTGGTCATCCAGGACTCACCTCAGACGTCCGATGATGGGGCAGCGCTCAGCCCACCTTGAAGTATTAGCAAAGCAGGCCGCACCAACAGAGGCCCAAGTCGCAAAAGCTCGATTACTAGAGCCCATACCCAAAACAAATTCACGGGTTTGGGCCTCCAATAGGGGCAATTGATGGGGCAATCAGGCCATTGCTCCATTGGGCCTCAACCGATTAGGCCCAAGTTTCACATAACACCCACCAAGATCCACTTCGACCCATGTGCTAGGGAATATTCCCATATTCTCTCTCTTGGGTCTATAAAAAGAATACCCCAAGTATTTATTTCTCAAGTCATTTTCTCTCTACATAGCATTTTGTTTAGTTCTCTTTCTCTCTCTAAAAGGGTTTTAACTTTAGTATTGGAGTGCTAACTCTATTTAGTAGGGTATATAGGATACTCTCGGTGCTGTCTCGTAGATCGACCCGGGAGCGCATTATCAATATATATATATATATATATATATATATATATATATATAGATGTTGTGGGAGCTACTGCTCAGTACAAAAGCCTCGCCTCAATAAGGAGGCGGGAGATCAAAAGCTAAAGTATTTATCACCATGCTCGGGGATGCCAAAATATGTGCCCGGGGTTACATAATAGACTTAAAAAAAAAAAAAATTCTCTTCACAATTTCAAAAAAAGAAAAAAAGAAAAGTGTTTCGACCAGAAGAAACAGAACATCGTGAATGTCTGATGATAATAACATCGCCTAGTTATGTAACGGACCAAAAGTTCCTTTTAGATGTCATTTTGATATGACTTCTTCTTCTTCTTCTTTTTTTTTTTTTTTTTGCTTTTGCGTTTGGATAAAACATTTTGATGTAGTATTTCTACCTTTTGATGGTTCTCTTTTCTTAGTTCATTGAGTCCAATGGAGTGGTTGTGCATAAAGCAACTTATTTAGAACAGAAAGCAACTTCCATCCAAAAGAAAGGTACAGTGATTACAATTTTATGCCATGGACATCTTGTCTAAGATGACTTCTCAAGCTAAGAGAGTAACTCATATGTAAGGGGTCAAAGGATTATATTTTTGTTTCTCAAAATGTTGGAGAGAATAGAAAAGGGAATGTAAAGAAAGATTTCTGTAAAGGATTATAGAAAAGGGAATGTAAAGAAAGATTTTTGTGATTCAAAACATTGTTCTTCAGATAGTTTAATTAGTTTAATCGCTATTCGTTAAAGAGCGAAAAAGATTGCATTGCTACAAGTTTTTCTATGAAAAATTCCTTGATAAGGTGATGTTAACATATCTGAATTCCTTTTCCAAATGAGTTAGAACACCACATCTGGCAATATAGAAAGGACCACAGAGTACAGATCTTCCTTGAAAATGATATCTAGAAAATAACAATTACAAATTAGAAGATTTGTGTCAAACAATTTGGTGAGGTGATCATGATAGAGCACGTCGCCGGAGTTCTCAGTTGAGATTTGGGAGGACCCAAAAACACGGCACGTCGCCTCAGAAACAATGCACTCTCAGACAAATATGGAACAGGTGATGAGAAAGGAAGTTGCTTACTTTCATTTTTTCAAAATGGCTTTCCAGTTTCCAAGTTTATTGAACACGTTAAAAAGCCCTACCAGGAACACTTTGATTCAGATAGGTTATCCGAGATTTTTATGGATTAAGGCACTGCAGGGAACAAGTTACTTGCAACAGCAGAGACAGAATTTACAAAGAGAAATGTCTCCAAAGATATTCATACTTAACAAAAGTAATAATGAAATCAGTTCACCTTCAATCCCCATTTCCTAGTCTTCATTTTCCAACTCTCAGGAGATAAATATCAAACAAAAGATACCAAATGTTATTTTTGAACACAATCTCTGCAACTTTGAGGGATGAGTACTTAATCTATGATGAAATAATAAAATTGATGGAGCTGTATACAGGAACATGCATAACTATGAAATATATGAAAGCTTATTTTCTCTCAGACCCATCTATCGAAACTTGGAGATCTTATACGTTTCAACTCACTTTCAGCATTTCTGCATTAGAGTTTAGAGGCAATCCATGAGTTTCAAGAACATGAAATTCCAGAAGTTTGAAAGGTGACGCATACCCCTGGCAATATCAATACTGTTATGCTGCTATAACAAAACCTTAAAAACTTACTTGGTAAATGATGACAGCATTGCTTGAGCTGGTAGTAAAGTCAGCCGCACGAAGAACAGTGAGTAACCAAATTTAATATGCAATCAAAGCTGGGTATCACACCATACAAGGAAACAAGAGATGCTCAATTTTCCACAGAAGTATACAGCAGAAGAAAAAGCTATACACATCAATTCCAAAAAACAAGTATGGATGTCAAATAACCAGTTCCCTACATCATCCATTCTCATGTACATGTCAAACAGCTATCTGCACAAATATTAGGAGCCTAAAAACTCCAAACACGCCATCAAGGTTGAATCTTCAAACCAATTATTCAGCAAAATTAAATTACTAAACCAATGCTCAGTTACTAGAAGAACTTTATCAGCTAAATCTATACCATGAAAAGAAAAATGCACCAAACACTTACTACTCCTTGATCTGAGACTGAGAGCTTCCTATCTATCAACTTGATCTCAGTATCTCTAACATCTTCCTAACTCTATTAACCCCCCATTGATCTCAGCTCCTCAAGCTGTGCTTTGATCTGCTCCTGAACCAACTCCAACCTCTTTGAATAAACCTCCAACTCTAATATCTGTTGCTTCCTCCATTTCTCATCTGTCACCATGTCTCCATTCAACCCCAATGGCATAGGACTCAAAGCAAACCCGAACCCCCTCGAGCTGCCCATCATGGGTCCATTCGAGCTCATCACACTATTCAACAACTCCTTGAATATGGGGGATAAACAGCTCCTCACTGTCTCCTCAATCAAATTGGTCGCAGGCACTGGCGTCTGAGCTGGAGCTGGAGCTGGAGCCGGAGCTGGAGTAGCTTGAGTTGGAGTTGGAGTGTGCACCACTCCTGGCCCAGGGCCAGGTACGGTTCCTACTCCTGACACTGCTGCAACGGCTGGAGCAATAGGTGTTGCAGTGGCCATCACCAAACCAACATGTGGCTGCTGATTGCAATGTTGCAAATTAGGAACACTGTTAAACCCAAACTGCTTCTCCTCAACCTTCACCGCTCCCCCGCGTGATCTTTTCCGGGAACGCGGTGTTTTCTTCTCCAAACTGTCAACTCCATTGGGGTTATGGTTATGGTTATGGTTAGGGGTAAAATTAAGGTTAGGGCTTTGATCAAGGAAATTAATACTAAAATTATGGTTAGTTTCGTCATCATCAAATCCACCTTCCTCCAACACAACCCCAACGCGGCCAGTAGCCACAGCAGAACCACCGCCACCAACAATACCAGCTCCATTCTCGCCCCAAATTTTACGAGAAATTTCAAAAGTAGCTTGATCATGAGGACTTTTAAAGACATACTCTTTACCTGACCCCATCTTGGTCATGACATTCCGGTACTTCTTCTTCAACCTCCGGAGCTTCTCAACCAACTGGTTCTTGTTGAAGTCCAGCTGCAGCTTACATTTGATCTGGTCGTAGAACGCGGTAGTATCGTGATGGTGGGAAGAATTAGTGAATCCTCTGGACGTTGTGTAATCCAAAAACCCCTGCAAGAGCTCGATCTCATCCTCATCGGTCCACAACCGCTGGAACAGCTTCCGGGACTCATCAATTGGCATCGGCTTCTTCCCCTCGGCGGCGGCGACGGTGGCCACAACGACTTCATCAACGAGTGGATGATTCAATTCAGGGAGGGAGTGATGATGATGATGATCAGAAGGGAGGGCGATCGTAACTTCCCTCCCCGCCGCCGCCGCTGACGCCGCCACGGCAGGAGGGGGAGGGAAATGATTCTGGTGATTGTGGAGATGATGGTTGAGGAGAGACGACGGATCAACGCCGGCGACACCGCCGGCAAGCGCAAGGGCGACATTCGAGGAGGAAGTGGAGTCGTCGACGTCCTCATCCTCGTCAACGTCGACGTCATCGTCCTCGTCGTCCACAACGACGTCGTTCTGGGCTGGATGATTATTAACCAGGTCGATGCCGTCGTCGGCGTTGATGTTGATGTTGATGTCATTAGCAGTAGAGGAGACCGGGTTAGCAAGATTGAGAGAGGCTTGATTGAAATGATTCCCGCTTTCATCATCCTCTTCTTCCTCTTCGTCGAGCTCTTCTTCTGGATTGTAAACGTTATGGTCTTCTTCTAAGGCCATCGGAACCGGAATTGGGATCGGGAAAGGACGATCGGAAATTGAGAAAAAGGGGTGATTCGGAATGGGAAAGAATTGAATAGGAGGAATGGGAATTGGAACCGGATCGGGAGGAGGCTGACTTAGTAGAGTGGTGGGGACGGTGGTGGTCGTGGTGGTGGTGGGGGTGGGGAGGAGGAGGGAGTCGTGTAGGACTAGGTTTGGTTGGGACTGAGTTGAACGGTTCATTTGTGAGTTTTTTTTTTTGTTTTTTTTTAGCGGATTTTAGGATGGGGATGCGATGCACGTGACCTCTTTTGATGCCTTTATGTTTCTGTGGGGTCCCACCTTTTTCCTTTTGTATACAAGTGCTGATGTTAGGGGGCAAACTTTTGATATTTGACGTTGCAGGGTTAAACTATTACTACTGTGAGTAACTGTATGCCGTCGAAAGTTATGCAAATAAATGAATGACAAAATATCAATTACCCAACTATTTTATGATTTAATATTTGGGTTTTATTTTATCTAAGAATTAAAATTTTCATGTGCAGTTGTGTTGAAGGCGATGGATTTTTGCAGCCACCTATTTTAATACTTGAAGCCACCAATTTTTAAAAATTCCCATTTTGTCCTTATCTTTTTGTCCAAAGTAGAGAGAGAAAGAAATGAATCACTCAGAGGTAAAATGAAAAAAATCGAAAAATCGGACCGAACCGAGCAATATACACGTTCTAGTTGAACCAAGGACGAGTAATATACCCGTTCGAATTTGAAAAAAAACGCATATATTGCCCGTCTGAACTGGGTTAACCCGGTTCGGACGGGCAATATACGCGTCCCGGTTGAACCAAGTGTCACGGGCTTACTTTTTCAAAGTAACGGCCGTGCGGCACTAGCACAAAACAACTAACGATCAAGTGCTAGCTCAGCCTTAAGACCCCCAAAGCGTGCAAAGCTAGGCAAGACCTTAAAGAACGGAGGCAAAGAAAAACTTAAGGAAGGTTGAAAGTGAAAGAATGATGAAGGCACAAGAGAGCTTAAGGAATGCTTGAGAACTCTACTCAAAGCTTGGATGGTTACAAATGGAGGGGGCATGGGGTATTTATAGGCAAACCCCCCAAGTCCTAAAGAATTCTAGAGAATTCTATGTGCATAATAAAATAATGGGATTCTAGAGAATTCCTACAATAAAATATTCTAAGTTCAAAATATCTACAAGTCTCTGAATCTTCCACACGATTCTAGCAAACTCTGAGTAGCTTCCATACGGTTCCACTCGTTTCTAGAGAGTTCGGGCCTCTAGAAAATTCCAGTCTTCAAGATTTGACCGGAAAATTCCACAAGGCTCTAGACCGTTCCGTCCCATGTCCGTCTACGAAAATAGCCCGTTTCGCATCAAACCACCCGAATTCATGGTGAAGAAAACTGTCCGTGACATCCTCCCCACCAAAATGGTGCATCGCCCGATGCACCTAAGTCTCGAAGGCAATGTTGATAGGAACGGGTGCACGATTCTCCTCAAAGTCCTCGATCAATTTGGTGAATTGCCAAAGCTTCTCGATTGGCTCCCAACTCGTCTCACTCATTGGCAAATTCTTCCATTTCACCAAGTATTCTTTAGTTGCTGCCCCGCTCCTGCCCGAACGATCCTCTTAGAAAGGATCTCCTCTGCGGTCCGTTCTCATGCTCGCGTACGCCGGTGGTGCCCTTGAGGAAACGTTCCGTTCTTCGTCCTCCGGGTCCTTGCGGTATGGCTTAAGTAGGCTCACATGAAAGACTGGATGAAGCCTTGAGAAGGCCTCGGGTAGTTCCAGCTTGTAAGCAACCGAACCCACTTTCTTAAGAACGGTGAAAGGACCCTCGTATCTGCGCATGAGACCCTTGTGTAGACCACGGCTCCGTCCATGCTCATAGAGCTTCACCAAGACTTGGTCGCCTTCTTCAAACTCGCGACGGTCCGTTTCTTATCCGCCCATTTCTTCATGCGTGCGGCCGACTTCTCCAAGTAGAGTTTTGCCTCGTCGGCCCGTTCTTGCCAATCTTTGGCAAACTTGTATGCGGGTGGGCTATTGCCCTTATAGCCCCCAAGAATGTCCTTAGGCGTAGTTGGTTGGAAACCAAGGACAATCTCAAACGGACTTTTGCCCGTGCTCTCACTCCGCATCAAGTTATAGGAAAATTGGGCAACGTCTAGCAAATGTACCCAATCTTTCTGGTTGGCTGCCACATAGTGCCTGAGATACACTTCCAAGAGGCCGTTGATGCGCTCCGTCTGCCCATCTGTTTGCGGGTGCAAAGATGTAGACATCTTGAGCTCCGTCCCAAGCAAACGAAAGAGTTCTTGCCAAAAACGGCCGGTGAACCTCGAGTCCCTGTCGCTTATGATCGATGTAGGCAGCCCCCAATACTTCACCACATGCCTAAGAAAGAGTTTGGCCGTTATCTCCGCGGTGCACTCTTTTGGGGCGGGAATGAAGACCGCATACTTAGACAAACGGTCTACCACAACAAGTATGTTGGTGCAACCCTCGGAAACGGGCAGGCTCACGATGAAATCCATCGAAACGCTGTCCCACGGGCGTTCGAAATAGGCAAGGGTGATAACAAGCCATGCGGGAGGTCTTGCTCGGTCTTGTCTTGTTGGCAAACTAGACAAGTCCTTACATACGTCTCCACGTCTTCCCGCATGCGAGGCCAATAGAACCGTTCATGGACTAAGGCAAGTGTGCGATGCGTACCTGGGTGACCCGCATAACGGCTATCATGGCAATCCCTTAGAATCTCCCTTCTAAGTCCATCCCATGCGGGCACGTACAAACGGTTCCCCTTGGCATAAAGTATCCCATCCTCAAGCCAGAACCGTGTTGTCTTGCCTTCCTTCACGAGCTCCATGAACCTTTGGGCTTGACGGTCGTGCTCAAGACCCTTCTTGATGCGATCAACCAACATCCCTTCGGGTATGCTAACGATTGGCGCAAGACACGCCTTTCGGCTTAACGCGTCGGCCACGTGGTTAGTCTTCCCCGGGCTATACTCAAGCTCGTATTTAAACTCGGCCAAGAAGTCCAACCAACGCGCTTGCTTGCTTGAAAGCTTAGGTTGGCTTTGATGGTAGCTCACTGCCCGATTATCCGTCTTGATCTTGAACGGTGTGGCGGCCTTCAAGTAATGCTCCCAAACTCTAAGGCAGTGAACTATAGCCAACATCTCCTTCTCGTGCGTCGGCCACCTTTTCTCGGTCTCGTTCAGCTTGCGACTTTCAAAGGCGATCGGGTGACCATCTTGCATGAGAACGCCCCCAATGGCGAAGTCCGGCGTCCGTGCACACCTCGAACGGTTTCTCAAAATCGGGGAGAGCTAGGACGGCTCTCGAGTGACAGCGTCCTTTAAAGCCTCGAACGATGTTTGGTGTTTTGGTGTCCAACACCAAGCTTGCCCCTTTTTCAAGAGATCCGTTAATGGAGCGGCTATGGCGGAGTGTCCTTCAATGAACCGCCGATAGTAATTAACAAGCCCCAAGAACGATCTCAGCTCCGTTGGCTTCGTGGGTGCCTCCCACTCCACGATAGCTTTGATTTTGGCCGGATCCATGCGGATTTTGCCCCCACCAATGATGTGTCCCAAGAACGACACCTCCTCAAGGCCGAAGGAACACTTCTCCCTTTTAACATAGAGCTGGTTTTCCCTAAGGACTTGAAAAACGGCTCTAAGATGCTCCACATGCTCCTTCATTGTGTTACTATAGATAACGATGTCGTCCAAGTATACTACAACGAACTTATCAATGAAATCCGCTAGCACACGTTGCATCAAAGTGCAAAACGTGGCTGGGGCATTAGTTAAACCGAACGGCATAACAAGAAACTCATAAGAGCCATACCTCGTCACCATGGCCGTTTTCGGTTCATCACCGGGTACTATGCGTACTTGGTAGTATCCCTTCCGCAAGTCTAGCTTGGAAAAGATCCGTGCCCGTTGCAGCCGGTCGAACAAGTCCGCTATAAGTGGGATAGGGTACTTGTTCTTCACGGTTAGCTTGTTTAACGCCCGATAGTCGATGCACAAACGTAGCGTCCCATCTTTCTTGCGTTGGAACAAGGCCGGCGAACCCCACGGACTTTTAGACGGCCTTGCATGACCCGATTCAAGTAGCTCCTTGATTTGCACCTTGAGCTCCTCTAGCTCGCTAGGGGACATACGATAAGGCACCTTGGCTATCGGTTTCGCCCGTCCACCAACTCGATGGCATGATCAACCTCCCTCCTTGGTGGAAGACCTTTGGGCAAATCGTCGGGCATCACGTCCTTGAACTCAACAAGGACTTGCTCTATGGGAGGCGGGATTCGTTCCTCCTTTGCCGGCTCCTCGTGCATGGTTCCTCCTCAAACACCATGGCGGCAAAGGTGTGTTCACCCCGTTTTAGCCCCTTGTTCAGTGGGAAGGGCTAATCTCATTTTCCCGTCTAAACTTTACCACACAAGGCTTCGCCTTGGAGGATCACCATCGTGTCGTTGCTAGGCACGATGATCGGCTTTACCTGGTCTAAAAACTCCATGCCAAACACAAGACCATAATCATCCATAGGTGCAATGGAGAAATTAGCCGTACCTGACCAGTTGCCGATTTTAAGAGGCACATCCCTGGCTTCGCCTACAAGACCCGTCCATTCACCGTTCACGCCCTTGAAACGGCCTTTGCTAGGTGTCCACTTGACGCCAAGCGAACGGGCTACCTCTTCCGTGAGATAACTCGTGTCGGCCCCCGTGTCTAGCATGCCCCATCTAGACCCGTTTGCGAACGATGCCTCCATGTAAAGACGGCCTTGACGTGTCTCGGCCTTGGCATGCACGGCATCTAGCCGTTTCATGCAAGCGACCCGTTTCTCCTCTTCTTGGCACAAACCTTGTGCCAATGCTGCCAACTTCGAACGAGACGGGCAATCACGTGCCATGTGCGCTCCCCCGCACAAGAAGCACCCTTGAAACTTCTTTGGCTTGTCCCCCTTGGTCTCCTTGCTTGAAGACGGCTTTGTATAGTCGGCTGCCGGCTTCGCGGGGGTGGAAGACTTCCCTTTGTCTCCCCCACCTTTGCCTTGGAACGGCTTCTTGCCATTGTCCTTGAAGCTATCCTTCTTTTGGAACTCAACAAGCGACTCGGCCACCTTTAACGCCCGATCGATGTCTGGACTTCTCTCCGTTGTAGCTCAAGTTTGGCCCAACGGTTGAGACCGTCCATGAAAGTAAAGAACGCCTCCTTGGGCGAGAGATCCGGAATTTCAAGCATCAAGTCCGAAAATTCCTTAACGTATTCCCGAATTTGGCCTTCCCTATGGTGCAGACGACGAAGCTTGGCCCGGGCTTCGTCTTCCGCATCCACTGGTAGGAAATACTTTCTAAACTCTTCCTTAAAACCATCCCACGTGGTGAAGACCGGGTCTCCATCCCCCACGGGTTTCATCATACGTTTCCACCATGATAAAGCACTATCTTTAAGATAAAGAGAGGCTTGGAAGAGTCTTACCGAGTCGTCCATGATATTCATAGCCCCAAAGTACCGTTCCATGCTGTAGAGAAAGTTCTCTACGTCCCTCAAGCGACGGCTGCCCTTATATTCGTCCGGCTTGGGCGCCTCAAGCCTTGGAACCGTCCCCACGGCTCCGGTTGTCCCTTGCACGGCCACGGCGTCAAGCCGTGCCTTAAGACGCCGCGATTCTGCCCGAGAAGTCTCCAGCTCCCCCATAAGCCGGTTGACGTCGTCTTGGAGGACGGCAACACGAGCAAGGCTTTCCTCCTTCGACTTGTTGCAACGTTCCACCATTTCGTTGAGCGTCCCTAGCATGTCGTCCTTCATTTGCTGCATGACCTCTTGCAATTCCCCTGCGAATCGCTCCATGCGAGCTTCGACGACCCCTGCTACCACCTCAGGGTGCTCGTCCCAACGGTCTTGGTGGTCTGCCACAGCAAGCTCTAGCTTGGCAAGCCGTTTCTCAAATTCCACCATCGGCTCCCTAACGACCGACTTCTCCTTGCGGCTTCCTTTGCGGGTGGTCCTCCCCACCTCGCGGGAAACGTGATCCCCCTCAAGCTCCGACCCTTGAACGACCTCCGAAGGGTTGGACATAGCTTATGCACGAAAGAAAACCGACAAACGGAAGCGTAGATGATGTAGCACACCAAGTATCGAGCCGAGGCTCTGATACCAAGTGTCACGGGCTTACTTTTTCAAAGTAACGGCCGTGCGGCACTAGCACAAAACAACTAACGATCAAGTGCTAGCTCAGCCTTAAGACCCCCAAAGCGTGCAAAGCTAGGCAAGACCTTAAAGAACGGAGGCAAAGAAAAACTTAAGGAAGGTTGAAAGTGAAAGAATGATGAAGGCACAAGAGAGCTTAAGGAATGCTTGAGAACTCTACTCAAAGCTTGGATGGTTACAAATGGAGGGGGCATGGGGTATTTATAGGCAAACCCCCCAAGTCCTAAAGAATTCTAGAGAATTCTATGTGCATAATAAAATAATGGGATTCTAGAGAATTCCTACAATAAAATATTCTAAGTTCAAAATATCTACAAGTCTCTAGAATCTTCCACACGATTCTAGCAAACTCGGGTAGCTTCCATACGGTTCCACTCGTTTCTAGAGAGTTCTGGGCCTCTCTAGAAAATTCCAGAGTCTTCAAGATTTGACCGGAAAATTCCACAAGGCTCTAGACCGTTCCGTCCCATGTCCGTCTACGAAAATAGCCCGTTTCGCATCAAACCACCCGAATTCATGGTGAAGAAAAACTGTCCGTGACACAAGGACGCGCAAGAAACGCATCCGCCTTGGCGCCCGGACGAGCGACCCACGTGTCCGTCTTGCCGCCCGGACGAGCGAGCCACGCGTCCCGTTTGAGGCCTAAATACATTGCTTGCCTGTCCTTGGTTCAACCGGGGCGGGTATATTGCCCGGTTCGAACCAAGTCGGAACGGGTATCTTTCCCGTTCTGGTTTTTTTTTTATTTACATTTTAATTATGTTTTTTTATTTTTATTTTTTTTATCTTTTTGTTTTGTCATTATATTATTTTATGATTCTTAGTTGATTATTTGTTTAGTTAGTTAGTTTAGTTTTTAATTAAATTAGTTTTTTTTGAATTAGTTATGTTAACAATTAATTTAGTAATTAGTTGAATTTCATTTTGTTTGGTTTATTTAAGGAGGAATTATATTTTTAATTTTAAATGCGAATATAATTAATTATAGTAATTTAAGTTTAGTTATAGAGAAATTTAATGTAATATTTTGATTAGTTAAATATTTTTTATAATAATTTTGTTAATGTAATTGTATGTTTTTGAATTATTTCTTAAAATTGTATATATATATTATTTGTTTTTTTAAATAATTGTAAATTATTTTTAATTTAGTTTATTATAGTGCAATATTTTTTTTTTTGTAATTTTATGTTTAATTTGCAGGATTCTTAGTTGATTATTTGTTTAGTAAGTTAGTTTAGTTTTTAATAAGATTAATTTTTTTGAATTAGTTATGTTAACAATTAATTTAGTAATTAGTTAAATTTCATTTAGTTTGGTTTATTTTAACTATTTAATTAGGAATTATATTTTTAATTTTATATGAGAATATATTTAATTATAGTAGCTTAAGTTTAGTTATAGGGAAATTTAATTTAACATTATTTTTTGATTAGTTAAATATTTTTTTATAATAATTTTGTTTAATGTAATTGTATGTGTTTTAATTATTTATTAAAATTGTGTATATATTATTTGTTTTTTAAATAGTTATAAATTATGTTTAATTTCATTTATTATAGTGCAACATTGTTTTTTTTTGTTGTAATTTTATGTTCAATTTGCAGGATTCATTTGAAGATTTTGGTGGCGATTGTGAAGATTACAGTGTAGTGTTTGCTATAGATGAGGAATTTGCAAAAAAGGATGATGCGGTTGATTAGGTGAAAGGCATGGGCTTGGCAAATGGTTTGATAATAAATGTAGTTTCTGTCAAGAGAAAGAATGGTGTTTTGATGAAATGTTGTAAAGGTAGAAAAGTCAAGGGGTCACTTGAAGATGGTGAAAAATATGTCTCAACGGATTCAAAGACACAAATCACTGGCTGTAAATTTAAGGTATATGTGCACTCAGTTGGTGGAAAGTGGCGCATTCGTGTGTATCCTGGTGAGTTTGGAATGCATAACCATTCCCTGTTTGACGAAGATCATCCCACAAGGGGCCTTAGCGATGGAGTGAAACAGGTTATACAGGATATGTCTAAAGATGGGTGCAGACCGTGTCAAATAATGGTAGCAATTGAGAGGAAATTTCCAGATGAAAAAGTTAATAGACGGCAAGTCTACAATTACAGGAAGAAATTGGGTAGTCAGGGGTTCCCGGTCTTGGGTGACTCGAGTGCCATGGATATCGCGACGAAGACACTATCGGTGGCGAAGCATCATCGTTACATCATTATGAAAGATTGCAATCAGGAGACAGGTGTGCTGAGTCGTGTTTTTTTTGCACATCCTGATTCTGTCAATTTATTTTGCACTTATTTCTAGGTCGTCAGGATAGACTCTACATACAAGACGAACAAGTACAAAATGCTGTTGGTTGAGTTTATTGGGATGACACCGTGCAACCAGAACTTCTTGATTGCATATACCCTCTTGAGTGATGAGACTGGTGAAAGTTATTATTGGGCTTTGAGACAGTTTAGGGATTCGTTTCTTGGTCATCTGTCTCCAGCTGTTATTGTTACTGGTCGGGAACCGGGGGTTGATGGCGCCGCTGAGTTGGGTTTTTCCAGATTTATGCCACTTTTTGTGTGTTTGGCATGTTTATGAGAATATAAAGCGACATCTCAACAAGGAATTGAAGTTTGACGCCAAGGTTGCAAATGGTTTTGCATATGGGTTGTGGAAAGACGTTGTGTAAGCTAAGAATCAAGATAACTACAATAAAGCTGTTATTATAATAAACCGACATTGTCACAATTTTTCGAGAGTTCTTAATTATATCCATAACACATGGTTAGTGGTTAACTACAAATTCGTACAAGGCGTGGACGAATGTTGTGTTTCATATGGGCAACACTACTACAGGTAGGGTGAAGAGCGCGCACAAGCAGTTAAAAACTTGGCTGGAAACATCCACTGTGTTGCTAGATACACTTTGGGCTAAGGTGCACTTAAAAATTCAGACTCAGCTAACTGAAATACGGTAACTTGTACTCCATTATGTTCTATTTATTATATATTTAGTATTTTTTTTTTAGCATTTTTGGCATTTTTCCTAGAATGTTTTATAGTAAGTGGTTACAAAAAATATAATCCTACATTCAGGTACAAACTGGAATACTCAAAACAGAAAATTGGCACCCATTATTGCGGTTTTCCATTGAACCGCTTGAAGTGTCAAGTTTCACATACATGTTTGAAAAAACTGAACGCTGAGTGGTCGAAGGCGCAAGAGTGGAAAGAAGAAACGAATGACAGATGTGATCATGTGGTTTACTGGACTTGTCGAATTCCATGTGCGTTCGCCCTCAAAAAGGCGGCAGATGCCGGCACATCGATTACTCTTAAGCATATTCACCCATTCTGGGCGACCCTTAATATCGGTGAACAGGCTGCTACTGGTGGTTCGAGCGATGTGGATGTCGATGTCCTTTATACCAAACAGTTGATGGAAGAGCTGAACGAGTGTCCTAAGGCAGTACGACGCATGGTAAATAGGGCTCTCTACGATATTATGCATCTAGACCAGTGTAGCTTCAAACAACCCGAGGAGGTCAAGAGACGGAAGGGGCAGCCGAAGGGGGCTAAATCAAAGATAAAAGCGACACCTAATGTGTGGGATTACAGGGACGAAACTCAAGGAAAGTCGACCACAGTGACGAGCGATTCAACTAAGAAGTGCCCCTCGTCTTCAGGTGGTCATACAGATGCATCCATAGGTACAAGTTAAGAACTTATTTTTGCATCCATAATTTATGTATTAACTTTTGTTCCAATTAACATTTGTTCTGTGTAATTTACAGATATTTTTGCAAGTGATATTTCACAGTATGGTTGCTACGACCTCATTCCATGGCCCATTTGGACATATATTACCAATTACCTTGATGTTGCTGCCAATGGCAATTGTGGATTTCACGTCGTAGTGAGTAACATGTATTTGTGCAAGGAAAAGTGGGCGATGGCGAGAGAGGCAATTGCGACCGAGCTAGAACAGAATTGGCATCTGTACAGGAGAATTTACGTGTATACCCACTTTTTATTTTCTATGTTATGATGTTTGCTGAACTTGGCTGTATTTCGCACAAATAATTATACATGTAAATGCACGACCACCGTGCAGGAAGAAGTCAGTTGTATATGGTGGAGTGGATTAGGTTTTGCACCTGAGCGCCATTGGATGTGTACGACGGACTTGCTCGTAGTTACGACTATGAACAATGTAATTGTGTACTTTTACGGTGCAGGAGAAGAGAACCAGTCGCTAAACACCTCATATTAGACTATACTACCTGTCACTGCACGCGGTGAGGCAACATGTCCGGCATATGAGATTAGGGTATGTCACTCTGGTATTTACAAGCACTTCATTCGAATAAATTTGGACGGTGACTTTCAAGTTCCACCGATCAATAATAGGTGGACTAAGGAACATGATCTTAGCGTTAGTGGTTGTGAATTACCACTTCTTCCTAGGATTCAAGAATGGTATAGGTTGGTCCCCTTCAATCCTCGACGACCCGTGGATGGTGATGATTACATTGATCTTAGTTTCTTAGATTAGATCCATGTTGCTTTGATTGTTGTGATGATGATAAAACAAATTATCTATTATCTAATTTGTTTGTTTTTTATGTATTGTGCAATAACATACCACATGGACATAAAAAAAAAAATACCACATGGACACCAAATAAGCTAACTAATATAACACACAATAGTGGCATAAAAAAAAAAACTAAATACAGCCTAAGAAAAAAAATCCAGTACAATAAAATGACAATGATAATGCTCATGGAGCCTTGTAATAACGGACTATCGTATCCTGCAGCTTCTCATCATATTCAGCAACTAGATCGTGATCGGTCACTTGGACCTTTTTAATCAGGTCCCTAGTGATTTTCCTCAATTCATTCATCCACTGAAAAAAAAACCCAAAAAAAGGTTAAACTATGTATAATATAGAAATGTAAATCTCAAAAAAAAAAATGTAATTAGAAATACAACTTACATAATCCTGACTACTCCTAGCTGGTGTGGAGTCTGAAAATGGGTCAGTTGTCGGCAGTAGAAATGTATGTGAATACTACCTGTACCATTCAAGGTACCCCTCCTCACACTCTCCTATGATCTCACTGAAATTAAAGCGCCTCAAACCCAAATTAACATACCCTGACTCCGGGAATCTCTTCCAAGTACTGAGTGTGTCAACAGCTGAATGCTCTACAAAGTACTGGGTAGTTCTGGGTCTTCGGAATGCATCATCAGGGGACATGGGCGAACGAGGAATATTCTGTACGTAGCCAATCTGACGTATAAATCTGTCCGGCATGTATGGCTCCTGCACGTTCCTATACATCGAAACTATTCCCTGTTGGCCTGGACCAAATGGCTCCCACTTTACCTGTAAAATATTATTTATATTATATATTTTAATATAAATTTTAAAAAAATTGAAATACAGTAAAAAAAAAAATATGTACCTCCAACTCGGTGAACCTGTCGAGACGCTCCCTAACCTGACGAAGACGATCCGACACGGATGTCGGTCCCACATAAGATGGTGGTAACTCGCCCTCCCTATGGGTAACTCGCCCTCCCTGGGGGCGGAAGCACGGGAAATACTCATAAATCCAAGCCTGCAGTAGGGTCAAATAACCACCTAACTGAGTGCACTTTATCATATTAGCCATCCCTAACTGACGGTATAGGAACGCAAGCGTAGCAGATCCCCACGAGTATGAACCCATATTTTCAATTGCATCTATAAGCTCATTTACAAGGGAAACATTGCACCTCCCACCACTCTTACCCATGAACAATGTCGAGGCTAACAATACCCACAAGAAAGCAGAGGCCTGGGTATTCTCGTCCGCTTTCTGGCATCGCTCAAGGATGAACCAATCAGAGACACTGCCATGACTCCAGTTTTAACCATTCGAATCCAGTCCAAGTATTCCTGCTGCATGTCCCCTCAACACATCTGTCTCAGGCGTACTTGACGCCAACTCTCCCTTAACCCTAATGCCCAAAATATGATAAACACCATGCATCATGATGGTCATCTCCCCGAACGACAAATGAAATGAGTTTGTGTCCGGCTGCCACCTCTCAACAAATGCACTTACTAAGCCAAGATCAATATCATCAGACGAGGTATGAAAAAGGTGACCCAATCCAGTCCCCCCAATCTTACCTTTCACTACATCATCCATATCCCTATACCACAACTTTAACTTATTGAGAATCTTTTCGCCTTTAAATATCTTCAGGATGGGTTTGTGATATCCATGCCAGAAATGATAAGCAATATGCCCAACAAAGCTAGGAATCACGCTAGCATCTGCCCACCAGGTAATTCATCTGTCACTAGCTATATAGTCGGATCAATTTCATCAAAAACTCTCGACTGGCTGCTGCCGCCTGTACCATGAATAAGTAAACTGAATATTATTTATTATATTTAATACACATACAATAATTCAATAAATATAGTTGAAAAAAATTAGTTAAAAATGATTTCATAATTTTAAATAATTACAAAAATTAAATATAAATAATTGGTACCTAATGATGCAACAGTGGTAACATGACGTGTAGATACTCCAATGGATCCGGGACCTCGGCGAGGGAACACGGGATCAATGAGAGGGGGAGCACGTGTAGATACTTCAGTGGAGACGAAACCTCCGCGAGGGGGCACGGGATCAATGAGGGGGGAAGATGCCTAACTATCGCGGGAGAGACGAGGCCGACTACTTGTGGATACACCCTGTGGGAATTGAACAACACCAGAGAAAGAGGGGCTACAATGTAGACTGCGCCACTGACCACTCATAGGAGAAGGGATAGGGGTAGGGGGAGAGGGTAAACCTCCAGGACCAGGCCGTGCACAACCAAACAGGGGAGGAGGGTAACTACTAAGATTGTACGTAGGGCGATCTCTGTGATGCGCCCCCATCTTAACACTGTCCTGCACATCATCCTCATCAAACTCATTCTCCTCATCCTCATCCTCCTCTTCCAGGTCGTCCTCGGAAAACTCGGGTACATTAATCGGCTGACTAGACCGAGTCTCAAACGGTACACCACCCATATTTACCTGAGTCATTTTCATTCGCTTCTTTAACTCTTTTTCCTCTCTTTTCTTCCGACGGCTCGTGGTCAGGTAACGCGCACGAACCTTACGCTTACTAGTATCTTCAGTATCACTAGTATCACTAATATCACTATCATCATCATCATCACAATAAACCTAGACACAAAATTTTAGTCATCATTATCATATTTTCCTAGTCTAAACAAATAATTATACAAATTTCCTAAATCCTAAATAGTTTAATAATTAAGTACACTTTGATTAAACGTATAATTCATATAACAAAATAATTATATACATAATATAAAACTAATTATCATACAATGATTAACTACACTAATTTACTATTCATTAAAGTAATTATATACATAATATAAAACTATTTATCATACATAAATTAACTAAATAAATTAATCTATTGTACTTATTATAAACTAAAATACTTTACAAAAAATTTATTAAATTACTATTAATTATATTTAATCCAATAAACTAAACTAATTTAAAAAATATTTATATTAATTTATTTAATCATAAACTACATTACAAACAAATTAGATTAACTTCTACTATTAATTAAATTAATCCAATAAACTAATTAATTTACAAACTATTTAAATCAATTTATTTACACAATTTAACTAAATAACAAAGTAATAACCAATTAATCTAAATCACAAACTTTTTAAAACTAACTACATTAAATATATTAAATTAACTAATTACATTAAATTACAAACTAAATTAGTAAATTAAATATATTACACATAACAAAATTAAATTAAATTCAAAATTAGTAATGAATTAAAACTTAAAAAAATCAAAATTAAATTAAATTAAAAAAAAAACATTCTGACCGGTCCGGTCCTCCGACCAGACCGATCTTGGACCGGGCTCATCCTGGCCCAAACTGGCCGCCGGAACGGCCAAGGAAGCCGTCCGGCGGCGCTGACCGGACGCGCAAGGAATGCGTCCCGGTTCATGCGCGTTCCAGTTTGAACCGGGACGCGTTCCTTGCACGTCTGGTCGGCGCCGCCGGAACGGCCGCCGGACGCGCAAGGAACGCGTCCCGGTTCAATCCGGAACGAGTGCGCGTCCGGTCAGAGCCGCCGGACGGCTTCCTTGGCCGTTCCGGCGGCCAGAATTTTTTTTTTTCATTTTCTTCTAAAAAAACACAATTTTGAAGAAAAAAACTTACCTTTGATAAGGTCGGCTCTTTTCCGTTTGATTTCTTCCATGTTGCCATCAATTTTAGCCTCAAATAAGCTTCAATTTGGAGTTTAAAAAATTAAGGGGTTATGTTTTCTCTCATTTTTTCTTAGGTGGAAGTTTGAAATGAGAGGTACAAAATCAGTATAAATAAAAAATGGTGGTTTCAAATACCAAAGCTGGTGGCTTCAAAAACTAATACCCGTGTTGAATGTGTGTACACCATGCCACCATGGTCCCCACTGGCTCCACCCTCAATCATTAGTATATATATAATAAAAATTAATCATATTTATTTTTTTAGTTACTTAATTTAATAATTTTCTTGTGATTTGAATACTAATTGTTTTACTCTTAATCAAGTGTTGGGCCCATTAACTATACTAACAAACTGAATTTTTAGGTTTGAAATAGGTTTAATTAATCTATTATAACATTTACTATTGCCAATGTTATATTTTTCTTATAGCTAAATACTCTATCTAGACCCAAAAAGATTAGTTGACGTTTTTGTCTGCGAACAAGATTACTTGGGTTAAGGAGAGCAAAAGGTTGATTCAAATTTTTTTTATATTAATTAAATTAGAAAATTTTTTTTGAGCTGTGAACGTAATAAAAAGTCGTGAGAAGTGTAAAACTTTTGAATAAACGATGATCTAATTTTATACTGCAAAATTAAATAAATCTCGCAATCTTTTTTCTCTTTTAATGGAAATGACATTATATACAACATATCAAAGTATGAAATC